TCTATCTAACTGTAGAATATTCGCGATAGCTTAACGGGAAAGTGTTTGTCATGCAATTCGAAGGTACTGTGTTCAAACCTACAAAAATTCAATATTATTCGTCAACTCTGGACAAAAAGTAAACATCCCGCGTATAATACTGGGCGGAAAAAGTAAGTCTTCTGCAGGAAAACTAAGTAGAGTGAGGCTGACTACGATACATAAGATGAGAAAAGTGGATAGCTCGATACAAACCGACACCGACACCTTTTGATATGTATCATATCAGTATATGCCTAAGAGTCATCCATCTATAGATCGTTCATTGCGATTCGGCTGTGAATTATAAAAGGTCTTCTCTGTTTTTTAGATGCCAGATGAACAACAACGACGTGTCATTAAAACTGAGAAAAAAGCTCCATCCAAGGTGGATAACACAGCTATTTCTACGAACATAAAAGGAAGTGTCAACGAAAAATAAATCTTTTGCAAAAAAAAGTCGAGTACTCGATGCAAACCTTGTGTCGCGTTTCGCAGTAGTAGTATCAACTACGCCTCGTTTTGTCGAGACGTACTTGACATCAAGTACTCGAACAGCGAGAGCTCGTCTGGATATATATCTGCGAGAGAGTATAGAAAATACTACCCAATATACTCTGAAAAAGTAAAATGTTGAATCATTCTCCAATTTTTCGGTTTTCATCAATTTTACCACTATACATGTATTTAGAATAATAAAAAAATAGAAACAAGAAGATAAGGTGGTGTACGAGGAGAGTGTTTTATACAATAAAGTGAAGGAAGTGATTATCTGTAAAATGTGAATAGAAAAATGATAAAGACAATTGGTTTAAGAGAATTAGTATCCAACAGCAGAAAAATTGATGGATCTTGAACACTTAACGTTGTGCCAGTAGTTATCCTGAAAAAATGTTGCTAATACATTGTTTTTACTTAAAACAATGTCCCCACAGTAGCTCAGCTGTACGTCAAATCTATCGCCCGAAAATAATTGTTTCAAATATCGACCATTCATCATTTCTCCATCTCCACTCCAGCCACACAACTCGAATCGTCTTAAATTTGGCATAGCTGACAATAACAGTCCAAGAGTATCAAAATGTATATTGTCATTAATCTGTATTGCAAAATCCTTCAAATGTATCATTGAAATATTTATTGTTACTTATAAATTTTTTTGTTCGATCGGTTTAAAAAAACTCCGATTTAACAGATTCAGGTTTAAAACCTTCAGCTTTGGTGTGTATTCAAAAAAAAACAGGAGGTCATTAATATGAGCTGACATTGTTACACTTTCTAAATTGTTCGTCGTGTTCAACCATTTGCAAGATCTTTCAAGGCTGGTGAAATACATTTTGCCTAAAGTAAGCGCCTTTAATTGAGGTAAACAATTTTCGAGCAAAATCTTGTACACCGACGATCTAAATATTCAAATGTATAAGATCGTTTCTATTTAGCTGCAGTCAGTATAGATTTTATTTACATTATATCTAAAAAATAAATGTATGGAGTGAAATCCAAGTGTGATAATTTCGGCCATTGAATGAATTGTAGTAGATCTTTTGACGAAGGTCGACTGAGTAGATGAAGTTTAACAATATTCGGATATTCTTGTACCAGTCTACTTATCTTTTCAGTACAAGGTAAAGATAACGATATGATTTGGTTTTGAACTAATGGGAGAACATTTAGACAAAACGCATGGTCATCTGGTGAAGGATATTTTAGCCGTAAACGAATACGAGAGTCAAATAATATTCGTGCAAAGCGGTAGTTTAGATGATAAAACGTTCTATAAAGTTCATAAGCATCACCAACGTATTCATAAATGTCTAACAATAGCTCATCTTTTAATTTCTCAGGCGATGAGACCGCAGATCCATTTTGAGATCTAGTACAGCATCTTTTCGCTTCTGTGAACAATATTTCCACTGCTTTATGAAGTTTAATCCAGCGCAAAAATATATCCATTTCAGAAGTCAATGTCAAGTCACAACTCCGCAATATATGATGTAAGTGAAATTCCTGTCAAAAACACAGTTGTCTAGTTTTTTTCGACACTACAAATATATATTGTTCAAATATGATTGTAGAACGAAGCAATAATGAATTTCAGACTAAAAGAAAGGGGAGAAAATTTAAAGAGCAAAACATTATTCAGCTGTGTAGTCTCGTTCAATCGATGTTAGACGGAAACAAGCAGTTTAGATATGCAGATTCATAAAAAGAGTGTGTATACTCATTTTCGAACACATTACTATCCAGACAAACAATAGTTAACTGCATGCAAACACCAACAAACTACCTTTTCTGTATGCAATAAAATCAAATCTTAATTCTTTGAGAAGTTTGAGTGATTAAGGCGTTGTTTATCATCTTACTATAAATATATGTGGATTATTTAATTTATCTAGATTACATAAGTTCGGCAAGTTATCAATTCCACAACTCCGTATGTAAACGATACTACATAAATGCTTAGTTTTCTTGTGAACTAGCGCTCTTCAACTTATCGCCAGCTACCATAGTAGAGAAAAAAATGTACTCAACGGATAGAGGGAGTAGAGATGGGCGCCGGGACCGAAAAAATTTGATAGTCCCGGTAAAAGATTTGCATGCTATTCTATTAACTTTAGTGATAAACTATTATTTGACCACTGGTGGCAGCGTCAGGATTTTTCGGGTGTTTTGGCTCAGCCCATAATTTTTCAAAAATCCGTTCAGGATTTTGACATGACTATTGCTAGTGAGTACTCTGTTTTCAAATTTTTGAGTGGTTGGGCTCATCCCACCCTAGCTCTGCCCTGGCGCCGCCACTATTGACCACGGTGGAAGAGCAAACATTTCTGTACAAAGTGCGTGGTCAAATAATAGTTTACCACTAAAGTTAATGGAATGGTATGCAAATCTTTTACCGGGACCAGAAAATTTTTTGCGGCCCCGATGCCCACCTCTAGGAGGAAGATATAACCAATGAATGACTTCACGTACAAAAGGTCAATGTTTCTCATTTTGCTTTCCTTCTGCTTGTATGACACAATTGTATTTATTTCTTAGAAAAGCGAGAAAGGCTGAATAATACAGGATAGTTCTGAACAAATTAATTGACATTTTTCTAGTTTAAAAACTTAGCCTGATTAAGTTCTTTATGTAAACAATTCCAAAGGTAGAGTGACTTTGGTCACTTTTCTGAACTAACTTCTCTTTTAAAGGTCTGGTTTTTATGTTAGATGAAGGAGAGATGCTTAACCAGCAATAAAGTGAATACAGTTTTTACCTATAAAAACCTATTAAACATTAAAACCAAATTTTATCATTTTTTACAAATATCACAAAGCAGGCGTTGCTGAACACGAGGAGCGCTGTTTACACCTCAGCGCTGAAACAAAAGAAAGTTCAATGAATCAAGTAACATCCAAAAGTTGAGGTCAAAAGCGTCGGTAAAAATCTCAGGCTTTAACACTTTTCAATATAAGTTGAACAAACAAAGTTCAATATAAGAAAGTATAAATATTTTCACGGTGAAGACCTGAGTGCACTACCGGGCTCAGGATCCATTGCATTATCATTCGCATTACTGGATTCAAACCTATTGTGCTATTATGAGCATTACCAGGTTTTAATGTAATTTGGTGGATTAAGTTCAAGAGTGAGATTAAGAAAATATTCATTTTGATGCATAATTTGTAGATGATTAAACGAAAGAATGTTTTTAGTTTCTCCTTTCTCCACCCACTCTTCTCTTAGCGTACATTTTCTTTTTCAACTATTATTGTTCTAACAAAACTCACTTCGTCGTTTTTAAAAAATTGAGAACAGCCGAGGAGCGCTCGTCTTTTTTTAATCTTTGCCATTAACAGTGATGGCACACGAATGCCATCACTGCTAGTTAACCTATTATCAATTAAATGATGTAATATGATTATATCAGTTTAAAGGTGAAAAGCTGAGTGAAAATGAGAATATCGCACTAGAATCAATATTTCATAGACAAATTTCAAAAGGATCATGATAGATTTTACTGCTATAAAGTGATTCATAGTATATTTGACCGTTAAGTTTGGTCAAAAGTGTTACATAGTGGACTATCCAACCATAAAAAGATCATTCACCGATCAAACATTTCATTCGGTCGTTCTTTGTTTGCAGAGATAGGTAGTTACACGTGAATCATATACATATATTCCTTTGTTGTTCTCTCTATCCATTTCGTTTCTACTATAAATAATCTGTATTCTAATACCATAGCAACCTCTTTGCTAACAAAGAGATTAGACAAAGCAATTTTTATGTTTAATCCATCTGATTGCAGCTGTAACCGGCGTTTGTGAGATGTTTGTGTTATCAAATTTCACTCCTTTGTTGAATTTTATGTGTAAATGGACAATTTTAAAGTATTTCAATTAATACCAAAAATATCTGCTCTTGTAAGTAAAAAACGACATGATATGTGACTGTAGAGACTGGTTTATTGTATTCAATTTATTTCAGGTTCTATTTGTGGCTGCATTCGTCGTAACTGGAATTACTGGAAATACGATTATAAAATTGTTCATTCCACAGATTATAGTGGGAGCTTTATCATGTTTACGTACTATTGGATCGGCACTGGTGGTTGTTGGATACCAAAGTGATCGACCGATCATTCTTCATGTCGTAAGCAACAAATCAAAGTTAATGCATGCTTGACGCTACTCTTTCACCATAAAACAACTCTATACACAGTTTTCGCTTTCTATGGGGAATCTTTGGTGCAGTTCGTCTATTAGAAACTGAAGTTATTCAGAAACGGTAAAACTACAGTTTGACTTCGTTTTTGATGTTATTTTAAAATATGACATTTTTTAAAAGTTATCAGGTTGGCCAAAAAGTTCTGCAACACTTGCGAAAAAGTTGATTTTTATGCGCATTTTTGTTAAGTTTTTGTGTGTTTTATGCACAGTTTTTGTTGTTTTTGTGTTTATCGTGTTCCGGGTTCATCTTTATCCTCAAAGTTTCAGATGACATTGGACAAAATCGAGCTTCGAGTCTCGATACGCTATTGTTGGAAGGGACGACTTTCGACCAGAGATGCTGCGAAAGAGATTTGTGATGCTGAAGGCGAAAGAACCGTCCACTACACAACTGTTTCCCGATGGTACAAACGATTCGATTTTGGTGACCTTAGTCTTGAAGATCAACCACGTTCCGGCCGGCCATCAATGTTGGACAATGATGGTCTGCGGGCAGCCTTGGAAGATGAGCCTTCATCGAGCAGCCGTGAATTGGCGTCGGTTTTTGGAGTCTCGTCCCATCAGACTGTGCTCAATCACCTGCATCAAATAGATTATGTGCACAAGAAGCCTCGCCAGGATCCACAGGAGTTGACCGGAGCGCAAGCCAAGCGTCATTTTGAAGTCTGCCGTCAATTGTTGGAAAATCCATTGGATGATCGGCTTTGCAAGCGTATTGTGACTTCGGACGAAAAACGGGTCTTCTTGGTCAATCACAACCGGCAGAAGCAGTACGTTCCGCGAGGTCAAGATCCGCCATCAGTTCCGCGTCAAGATCGTTTCGGCAAGAAGGTGATGACTTGCGTCTGGTGGAACTTTGAGGGCGTGCTTCACTTTGAACTGGTTCCGAATGGCCGTGCTGTGAACGCCGAACTCTACTGCCAACAACTGGACCGTGTCTATGACAAGCTGAAGGAGAAGTACCCGACCCTTGTTCGTCACAAACGCGCTTTGTTCCAGCAAGACAACGCTAAACCTCACACCGCCAAGAAAACAAAGGAGAAATTTGACGAACTGGAGGAAGTCGAGGTCTTGCCGCACCCAGCCTACAGTCCCGACGCTGCGCCGTCCGATTACGGCCTCTTTCAATCAATGGAGCATTTTTTACGTAGTCGCTGATTCGAGTCATTTGATCAAGTTGAGGAAGCGTGCTAGGAGTTCTTCGATTCGAAGCCGGCAGAATGGTACTTCAATCAAATCCGGATGCTTGCAGATCGATGGCAAAAGATTGTTGAAAACGATGGCCTTTATTTTGAAGAGTAGTTGTTATTGTTTTTAAATAAATTTGCGCATAAAAATCAACTTTTTCGCAAGTGCTGCAGAACTTTTTGGCCAACCTAATAACGAATGGTACTTTATCATGTTTGGTTTATGAATGTTCATCTAATCTCTATATCGATGTCCCATTTAAAGTGACTTTGTTTTCATTACTTACTCACATGATTGCTCATGTATGTCACCTGGATGTTGAAGAATTTATCGGTGGCGTATACTTTAATCAAGAACAACATTATCGACTCAATGAAGAACTAAGAAAAAACTCAGTTTCCAAAATTGAAAATAAAGAAACAAATTCAAAGAATCGTTAATTCGAAGATTTCGAATTAGACTTTTAGAAACCTCACCTGTTCAAATATTTATTTTTGTATTTTTGTGTTAGTTAAATTTTTCTTTTATATTATTTACATGGTTAAAGACGACATTATGGTTCTCATTTTTTCTCAATTTATTTTCCATATAGTAAAGATGTTTATGTGTACTAATTTAAAAATAAATATATCAGAAATTTCATTGTTATTAGTTTCTCTAGTACTTATCGCTTACATATTCACTTCAAGTTGAAGATATAATATATTAAATTGATCTGTCACAGTAACTACTTTAAAAGAACTACGGAACAGGCTTTGGAAAGATGCATAAATGCTCATAATTATGTTGGATTTACGATTTTCCATCAAAATATCGGTTTCTGGAGTGATTGTAACGATACTTGAAGTTGTTTGAAGAAACACCTCAAACAAGCAACTTTATCGCTGTATTCAGTTGTAAGATACAGATATTCCTTTACCATGAATATCATTTCATTGTTTCCGAAAACAATATGCTTGGTATGACGATACATAATGTACTCTGTGAGCACCTTTAAACATTTGTGGCCCTTATTAGTCGATTACTTAGAACAAGAGGACATTTATTGGTTTTTATTACTAAAGTTCTACTTCGTTTTCGCACATTTTTAACCAAAATTATTTGACGAGTTAGAAGTGTTTCATCAACGTTTTCTTTTGATATTGAATCCTCATGTCTTAGAGAAGCATTTTCATATTGTTCTTCGATTGTAGCTAAATTGTTTAGATATTGTTTTCTCATCATGAAAACATTCTGAAGTGGAAAAGGACGATGGAAACGATCCCACAATATATGTAAGGCGATAGTATAGCTGCACGTAAGAGAATGAAAAGAAAAATATGTTGAGGATGATCTGTACGGTTATTATTCATATTCATTCGAAGAAAAGAGGAGAAAATTTAGATTTTATCCCATATCTTTATGCGGAGAACTTTAAAACCAATTTTAAGGTATAGTCTATGCGTACTAAAATGACATAATTAAGTCATTTTTTTTATTTCTTTTTATTTTTCTTCCCTCTTTCCCTTTTATAATCCAAAACAAAATGAAATATTCTCTTCCTGTATTTAAAAAACAAATCTATATGAAATGGAACCGAAGAATTTAAATTTAATTCTGAATAAAAACTGTGAGATCATCAAAGTGTACAAACTGAAATGAATCGATGTACGATGTCGAAACGGCATCTGTCTTACAAAAAACAATAGTTCCGACGGTCTTTTGTGCGAAGAGTGTTGCAAGATACAATACTGTTCGAGACCGGCTGCTGCCACAGCTGGGTTTTTCTACTTCTTCTCTGCTTTAATTAAAACTGGTGAATCACGATGATGATAGAGAAACAGAAGAATTTTCTTTTAGAACAATATAGTAGTTAGGATAATATCGGTTAGAGAGAGTTACAGAGAGCACAGTGATTTAGAGTCCTTTAACATTTTGAGAAGATTTAAGGAACCCCCCTCAGAAATGGTGATTTTCGGTCAATAAATCGATTTTGAGATAAGCACATGAAAAGATAGCCTAAAGTGTCTACTTTCAGAATATATATGATTTAACACAATACAAATGGTTTTTTAGGGGGTTTTCAGAGGTTTTCTGGAGATCGCCCTACGGAGAACATATTTTTTCAACTTTGTAGTTGACATGAAACATAGGTATATTATATTTGAAATGAAAGTACTTATCGAGATGCATCTAATAGTGCATGTGGCGACATATAGAAGTGCACATGACGCCATCTAGATATATGGCGTGAATTTTAGAGCAGCTTTTCCAGCATTTCTTCAGGCCTACACAAACAGTTCATCTGCTTTTCTGTAAAAATGGCTTCTATGCAAAAAAGCGCTTTTTTCAATAAACTGTTTAATTCAGAAAGAAAAAACAATGTGTTATTCCTAAACTTTAATAAAAAACAAGCCTACACAACATGAATACATATTGAAAATAAACAGCAAAAATAAGAAACTACTTTTTATCTGAAAAACCAAATCATGTGTAAAAATTTTCGAATAGGATCGTGTTGATTTTTTTTCATGGACTGATAGTCCGAGGTGTTCTCTTGCAAATGGAAGTCAAGGGAGACCTTGATTTTTCGCGGCTCGGGCATTGTATCAGATTTCCTACGGGTCCCAGGACTGGCACCTGGTGACCGTTGGTAACCTTCAAACCGAATGGACTATGGGTAATCAATCATGCTGAGTCTCGTGGAAATATTTATTTTTAGGAAAATTTCTTAGAATCTGGCGGAAAGGGAGTTTTATGAAAATTGGGGTTTTCAGGCTGTTTTCATTTAATATTTAAAAATTCACTATTCAATCAAAATACATCAGAACGAGTTCAAAACTTTAGGATATGATTAATTTTGTCCGCTAAACATTATTATATGATCGAAAAAAGCGCAAAAGCATATTTTTGTTAATGAGTGTTCCAGAAATCCTTTCGGAAAGCCTTAGAGTTCTTAAAATCTCTTTCTAGATCTCCTGTAAACAGAATATAGAATAGCCTAAATCCTTTACATTCTGAAGTTTTGAACTCGTTCTGATATATTTTGATTGAATAGTGAATTTTTAAATATTAGGAAAAAACAGCCTGAAAACCCCAATTTTCATAAAACTCCCTTTCCGCCAGATTCTAAGAAATTTTCCTAAAAATAAATATTTCCACGAGACTCAGCATGATTGATTACCCATTGTCCATTCGATTTGAAGGTTACCAACGGTCACCAGGTGCCAGTCCTGGGATCCGTAGGAAATCTGATACAATGCCCGAGCCGCGAAAAATCAAGGTCTCCCTTGACTTCCATTTGCAAGAGGACACCTCGGACTATCAGTCCATGAAAAAAAATCAACACGATCCTATTCGAAAATTTTTACACATGATTTGGTTTTTCAAAGATCTCCTAGAAAACCTATTTCAGAAAACTCTTCAGAAAATAATTATGCTTGTGGAAACGTCTACAAGTCTCTTCTTTCACATGGAAAAAATCGGAGCTCTCTAGCTGCTTTCTATCAAAAGGTATTCAAAAAACACCAACGGGAGTTCTATTTTGGCGTTTTTCTCAAAACACGTTTTTTATTCGAACATGCCCAGTCAGTCCGTTTGCACTTTCCCGATCGGGAGCTTTCCGAATCGGGAAAGATGTTGTCTCATGAACCATAAATCGTCTGGAGTGCGGCCAAGTTTTATTCTGTTGCTTAGGTGATTTATATTTGCTCTAGGTGAAAAGCTGAAGCTCCTCTTTGATTGCTGGTTACGTGCCATGCTAAAACAACTTTTTGCTGAAAAATCCCTTATTTTTATTTCCCAATCGGGAAATAAGACAGGATATTTCCTGTTGGGGAAAGATCAACTATTTCCCGTTTGGGAAAGATGTATTTCCTGATCGAAAAATAATGCGATACTATGCACTCTACTCTTCTTAACGCTCATTTTGACTTTCTGAATGCTAACATCTCAACCGGAACCTGATGAAGAGAAAAGAAATTGAATAATTTGTTCTGGCACGTATCGAAAGCCGTTAGATTGTCCTATCCAATGGCTAAAGTTAGGGCTCATTAATTCAACTGTAGAGTTGTTGATGTCTCCAGTGAACTTTATGAAAGAAGTCCTTGCTTGAAAATGTGTATTATTGACCTTTTTTGTAGTGTGATCAAAACCTTAACTTGGATGAGTCATTCTAAAAACGATAGTGAAAATATCTACAGTGGCCGTCAAAATTATTCACCACCTTGCTAATTTCTTTTATTAAGGTTATTGCTTGTTGAGAAAAGCTGCTAGACATTTTTTGATCTTATCGCGAGATAGCCCTTAGCTTTTTGTACATTTCCTGTAAAATTCCAGTTCTTATGCCTCGGTGTCGATTTTTGGCAAGTTTTCTTGTGAAATCACCGAATTTTTAACGCTAGAAAGCG